CTAGACAGCCCTCTCCATTTTGAACATTATCAGGCTCCCCTCACCACGAAACACATGATAGTTCTCCTTACTAATGTTTAGTGGAGCCACACCTGTCCATCTGCTGAAAGAAAACAGACAAAGTTGTTGTTAGAGCAGCAGTGCTGTCTAACTCTGTTCACTGAACTGAACTGATAATTACATTCTGACTTAAAAGACACCCTGTCAGTTCCTAGGATTGACTTTTGCTGTTCTCCCTCCCCTCTACATCCACCCACAACTCTGCAGGAGCTATAACAAAGGCAGTTTCATAAGTCCTGGAACTTCTGATTGCCTGATAAGGAACCTTTCACAATTTTCTCTGGTGGCCAGCAAGAGAGGAAAAATTCAATTTTGCCTGGAAAGAATGCCTACCCTGCTAAAATGAAAACATATTACAGATACAGAAATTGACTCTGGGCACATTTTAATAGCAATTCACCGAGCAAACACTGAACAACCTATATATGTGAATCACTATTTTTGCAATAATCTGTTCTAAATTGGTATTTGCCATTTTATTTCCCTGCCTTGGTTAATATGCACACCATATCTGCTGCCTCTTGTTTTGTTCTTTACCAACAGCTACAAGAACCTTAAAAACAACAACACTGTTTACATTATCTCCCCTTCCAACCTGTTCCTCCTACCTCTCTCTTTTATTTTTCATAAAATGGTTAGAAATTAAATTGATGAGAGAAATACCAATATATTCCAGCTTTATCATACTGAGGAGGTAGAGGGGAGGTCACTATTTATGTACTTTGAAAACCTTGCCTACAGTGTTTATTGCCAGGGCTTGGTTGTGTTGTACGTTCCCAGTTCATGAGGAAATCGGAAAACATTCAAATTATGCTGGGGAGAGGGTTACATTATTTGGGAAGGCGAACTATTTAAATGAAAGAAGTAAACATTCAGCAAAAGAACTGATGTCTACAAAATGCAGAGGTTTATGGAGCAAAAAAAGTAATTCAAGTCCTGCTCTCTGACTACTGAACATTCAACAAACTCCCTCCCTCTTTCTCAGATTTCACCAGGAATTGCCTAACATATTGGCATGACTGTAAGGGCCATAAAATCACTTTTAAAAAAAAGATTCAATCCAACATTTTCAGGGAATCTGGATTCTGCACCAAATGCCACATTTTATGAAATTTCCCATTATCTGCACTTGACTGAGTACCTCCTGCATAGAAGGAAATCCTCTAACAGGAAATCTCTTTGGTTGGTAGTTTTCCTACACTGAAGATTTGTGGGGTTTCCCTCTCTCCTGAGAAGCAGTGGGGACTACTAAGACTGAGGGATGTGTGTGCTGTTGGAATACTCTTGTCTGTTGTTTCTTCCCAAATTATGTTCCAAAGGAGCAGTAAGCCTACTTGGCGTTTGGTGCAATGGTTTCACCATTCAGAGCAGATAAAGGCAAATACACAACTAATTTTCCATTAAGAACGAGGGATTCATCAATAAGACTATGATGGCCCCGTCCACTCCCCTCCCTCAGAGGCAAGATTTTCCCTCCATTTTTCTTTCCCTTTTGTGACTGAGTCACCCTATTTTTCTTGTTTTCTTTTTTCCTGAAAAATTCTGGCTGTCCCACCCTGTCACAGTATAAAATTTTGGCTGTATGTTCAGCCCAGGAACCTGAGGGAAGGATCAGGAGCCTGCTTTAACTTATACAATTTAAATGACACTCGAGTCGTTTTGAAATTCAAAAATAACAAAATATTTTACTTAACATGGAGGGGAAAGACCAGGTGAAATCAGGACTTGAAATTTCTGAGGTAAAACCAGTACATGCCTAGACTTTTGTTCTTATGTTTCAGGCTAATAAGAGTTTCTTTCTTTCTTTTTTTTTAAGTTTTATTTCCTCTCCTAAAAAGGAGAGACATTTCGCTTAATGGAAAAAGGGAGGGTATATAGAGGGATCAAGAAAAGCTGAGTGATGTTATGACTGGTATATTAATCTGTTAGTAATATAAAAAAAAATCTTCTTTGGCTTCTTCAGTGTGTTGTCGAGCTTCTTTCTTCAATCCAGTTCTAAATATATCTGTTAGTATATTAGTAATGTCCCAATGGTGCTTTGTTAATAAAATCTTTTCAAATACGCTTAAATCAATTTTCCACGGGCTGGTTTCTTTTAAAATCCACAGTCAGGAAAGGGACTTCCTCCGCTTGTTGTTCACCGGTTTCTCGACTCCCTCTCTGGGTCGCTGTTTCCACTTCCGCTTGCAAGCTACAAATGATGCAGTCCTTATTCTTTCGTGCCTCTTCGAAAGGTCTCTAGCTTTGAGAATGTATTTATCCTTTTTCTATCTTTCGATTTTTAAACGCTCCATTCTCTAGCTGGACCTATTCTCCGCAACTATGACTTATAAAAGCGCTATTGAGAGCACTTTATCGCTTGTCATAGATCCTTCATTTCTCACACTTCCCAGATAAGGACACAGTCATTCACAATCTGGTTGTTATACAGCCGGCATAACAAAACATAAAACGCTTGACCGGAAGCTCCTCCTTTCTTGTTCGCTAATTTTACAATCCAGCTCCGCCATCTTGTTAATTTCTTTATTTTTATTAAAGTTCATACAACGCTTTTTAGCCCTTCTAAGCTTTAAAAAAGTGTAGTCCACCACAAAGACATTTGGAGATATTTACGGATCCAACTGGTTCCCCTCATATCCTGCTCAACAAAAGCTTCCCTCAGGAGAAGAAATGTCTTGCTATTGCTGCCATGCTGGTAAAGGAATGGGTGGGAACAAACTGGCCAAGCACTTGAGAAGTAAGCAGAGCTTCCTGAACACAGTCACTTCCTCTCCTCCTCCCCCGACTCCATTGCCAGTAATGCCAGGGGAAGGTTCAGAACAATGTTCCCTCTAAGCTGTGGAGTTTTGTGAGCAAGAATTCTACGTTGTGAGCTACTGGCATTAAAGCTATGAGTGAACAATTTGGCTACTGTATTAATTAGTTTGCTCTGGAGCCATCTCTCCTGAGCTAAAGCAAGAATGTGTGAGATGGGGGCTAAAAAACTGTGAGCTAGCTCACACTAACTCTGCTTAGAGGGAACACTGGTTCAGACTGGAACTGTATGCCAGCATCCCCAGCTTTTAAAAACCCCATGACTTACTCATTGTGTTCACAATGAGTGAGAGTCCTTTCGGGGTGGAGGGACACTGCTGTACTAATAGAACTCAACTCAGTCAAGGTAGAAATCTGACCAAATCTCTCCTTAGCATGCAGCTCCGTCAAGACTTTTTCTCCTCAGCTGATGGTAACCAATTAGATTGTTTGGAACAGCCTGCCACTCAAGGCCCTCTATTTCTGTGAAGAATTACCCTTCACAGTCGGGCTCTTTTTGTAGCAGGAACTCCTTTGCATATTAGGCCACACACCCCTGATGTAGCCAATCCTTCAAGAGCTTACAGTAGCTCCTTTAAGAAGAGCACTGTAAGCTCTTGGAGGATTGGTTACATTAGGGGTATATGGCCTAATATGCAAAGGAGTTCCTGCTACAAAAAGAGCCCTGCGTACAGCCCTTCTAAGCTTTTAAAAAGTGTAGTCCACCACAAAGACATTTGGAGATATTTACAGATCCAGATCTAAACTGGTTCCCCTCATACAAACTTCCCTCAACAAAAACTTCCCTCAGGAGAAGAAATGTCTGTTGCTATTGCTGCCATGCTGGTAAAGGAATGGGTGGGAACAAACTGGCCAAGCACTTGAGAAGTAAGCAGAGCTTCCTGAACACAGTCACTTCCTCTCCTCCTCCCCCGACTCCATTGCCAGTAATGCCAGGGGAAGGTTCAGACTGGGACTGTATGCCATCATCCCCAGCTTTTAAAAACCCCATGGCTTACTCATTGTGGTCACAATGAGTGAGAGTCCTTTTGGGGTGGAGGGACACTGCTGTACTAATAGGGCTTGGGGGGAAATCATAAAGTATGTATTCACACAATACATGTGACATGCTCTACAGTCTATTAAAAACACAAGGTCAGCAAATCAAGTCAACCTGTCTCCAATATGCACACCCCTAAATTTTGCAATTGCTAAGCAATACCAGTATAAAGAAAACAATTACAGAAAACTCATTAAAATATATATTCACTTTGTAAGAAAATATTTGGCATGGGTGATGCTTTTGCAAACATGCTGTGCTTATATGGGAACCAGAAAGCACTTCCCGCCAATCAAAGCAATGATTTGCGGAAACACAGAAAAGAAACCTTCTTTCCTTCCTGCTGCCTTGTGGAACTGAAACTGTGACAATGAGGAACCCAAAAACATACAGAAAATCAACAAACCTTCCTTCATTAGTTCTGAATTTCATTCTCCAAGTTATTATCGCCACATTAAAAAATTAAATATCTTTTTGGTTCAGATTCTGGTTAGTATCTCTCCAAATGCACAACCTCTAAGTATTTACCAGCACTGAGATCAGTCCTAGAATGGCCAACCACCGTGGAGCCACAAGGGGAGAGAACAACATTAATGGTTCATCTCACTTTTCTGGCTGACCTGCCTATGCAATATTCAAATGACTAGCACAGTGCCCAGCATTTTGACAAGCTGTGTCAGAGAAGCTGAGCTGCACTGAGAAAAATGTGAAGGCATTTAGTCTGTTCAATGGTAGCAGCATCACAGCTGACACAGAGCCTGTAGGGGAAAGTACAATTGCCTAGTCACATAATGTGAAGGTTTTTTTGATGGGTTTTTTTTTTATTTTCAACTATAACACATCAAAATTTTAGTTGTTTTCTTAGACGACTTACCTTTACACACAAACTACTTTCCTGAAAATACTATCAAAACTTCAACTGAATCATAAAGGTATTGTTAAAACAGAAATATGAATTCTGCTCTCAACTGTGTGGACGTATTGGAAGAATGCCCCACTACATCTCTTATTTCAGATACAATCAGTTATTTGGGAGGATTAGTCGGTCTGCACTGTGAACAATCACTGAATAAAACAGATGACTTACAGCTGTCCAGGCTCCTTTTTTACACCGAGAACACAGCCATCCATCATGAATTTCATGAGAAGGAACACCATAGCAACCTATAATAAGATAACCAAGGTGATGAACAGATTCTGTAGTTCATTATCTTTCCAGCAAAACAGACAAATAAGCTATTTACTCCGCATATTCTGTGATAAAAGAAGTGAAAAATGATCATTTCCCCAAGAGTAAGCTGTTTGCCCTATCTGCAGCTGAGAAGTTATCTATGTTGGCAACAATACTAATTCCTAAAAATTAGTTTTGTTATCCTTAACAGTCCTTTCACTGTCCTAGGTTACATTTTCCATGTGATAAGATCACAATTTGAGTACTGCAGCAATAATTCTTCATAACTGAAAGTTAGTACAGCTGAGTAATTAAGAGTATTAGGTAGTTCAAATCCATACCTTAGTTATAAAATCACAAGAGGCAGGACCCACGATACTCGCGCGGGGGGGAGATTTAGGTAGCCTTAGGGAAAGCTGCTATCTCAGCCCCCCTGCCCCAAAGAGGTCATAATACTTTCCTGCCTTATAAGGCAAGGCTCACTGAGATAATTTATGTGAAGCACCTTGAGCACTTAGGGAATGCTTTATTATTATTAGTGGTGGTAGAAGTAATGGCAATGTAGCAGCTAGGGATGCCAGCCTCCAGGTGGGACCTGGGGATCCCCAAGAATTACAGCTCATCTCCAGACTACAGAGAGCAGCTCCCCTGGAGAAAATGGGTGCTTTGAAGGGTGGACTTTATGACACTGTACCCCACCAAGGTCCTGTCCTCCCCAGGCTCCACACCCCCAAATCTCCAGGAGTTTCCCAACCTGGATCTGGCAACCCTACACTCCCATCCCCCACCATTAGCCGGGGGCAGCACTGAATTCTACAAAAACCAAAATTCTAGCAGGCCTCACCGACATTGTGTGTAGCTGAAATAGCTACCAGACTGCCACCCAGCACCCATCACATCTGGGTAAGAAAACGGAATGTGATGTCAGCAGGGTGGCTCAACACTCTGGACTTCCAGATATTCCAGAGCTGTGGCTAATGCCAAAATGTCACATTGAGACATTGTGTGACATCATTTTTACTCTCCACCGTTCTCCCTCCAGCCCTGAGGCAAGCGTAGGTGGGATGGCCAGACCACCTGGGAAATGCCTGCCCATACTGGGCATACAGCAAGGCTAAGCTTGGCCTGTTTAAAGGTGGCAGTATGCCCCCCCCTGTTGCCCTTTCCTAAACAAATCTCTCAAGACTTCTTAAATCCAGGAGGGCTTCTGTTACTAGAGGCAGCACATCACAATCCAAAGGCATTTACTCAAAAGGCAACCTCCCACTAGGGTTGCCAACCTCTAAGTGGGTGTTGACTTTTAAAATACTGGTGCAAATTGATTGGTAATTGTTAAACTGAATGAACTGAATGTTATTTTTAAACTGAATGAACTGAATGTTATTGTTAAACTGAATGTACTAAATATATGTACCTGACAAGAATGTTATAATAGCACACTATGCACTTTATAGAATATTAGCTATAAACAGAATACGTTAATTTACAAAAGTTTCTTGCAATATATATTTATTCGTTACTTGACTCTCCTAACACCAAATATAGTGGTTTATTGTATTAAGCCATTGGTCATTACAAAATACAGAATACAGCAGAGCAATAATAAAAAGTTAAAAAGCACCGTTAATATCCGGGGTAAAATTAACTACTAGTCAATAATAAGACAGATAAAGCAGGTTTAATCACCATCAACTCTCCTAACACTGCAGCTCGGGTTGCTACAACCTCTAAGTGGGGCCTGGTGATCTCCCAGAATCATCACTGATCTCCTGATTGCAGAGATCAGTTCCCCTTGAGAAAACTGCTGCTTTGGAGGACGGACATGGCATGATACCCTGCTAAGTCCCACCCCTCAACTCTGACCTCCCCAGACTCCACCCCCACAACTCCAGGAATTTCCCAACCTGGAGCTGGCAATCCTACCAACATCAGCAGATCACATTTTATTTACTGAATTAGGCATGTCTAATAGACTTGAGGCAATACTACTCTAACTGCACAATAAAGCTGCTAGACATGTTTATTACTGTCCCACCCTTCCTCCAAGCAACTGCAGTCAGGATGCACAGTCCTTTCCCCCATTTTAGTCTTACGGCAATCAAGTGAAGTGGGTTAAGATGGTGAAGATGAGAGACAGTGACTAGTCCAGGATCCTCCACTGAACATCATGACAGATTGGGGTTTGAAATCAGCATTCTCTAGTTTAGGGTTGCCAAGTGGGGGCGGGGGGGGAAACCCCCGCTTTGGAGGCCCGATTTCCACCGCCGCGGAATCGGGCCCCAGGGGGACTCTGCCCCCGCAACGCAG